CCTCCAGGCAATCAATAACAGACGATTGATGTTCATCTGCAATGTCTGGGCTTATCTTAATAAGTCGACCAAGAGCATCAATACCCATATATTTGAGATTATGACTATCACTCTGCCAAAACAGAAACTCGATATCTAAATGCTATAATGAGATCACAGAGAAATCAAAGAAAGTGAAAAAAGAAGCTAGGTTTGAACTTGACAAGCAGATAGATATTAAACTTCACAGCAACTTTAAGCAAAGCAAACCAACCTTCAGAAATTTTGAAGTTGTTTCAATAGCAGCATCCAATAACTTTGTATTTGGATGGATGGATGAAACACAGCAAATGCATTCATAAAGCACAGCATTTCCTATGTTGCTCGACATTTCAACCTTTCTAATTATCTCACCAAGTACAGTGTACATGTGTCCGCTAGCCTGCTTATCCCCACTACCAAGCAATGCGAGAATTTTTAATAACTTCACCTGAGCTCAATAAAAATAAAATGGAAGGGAAGCAATAATTAATTTACAACCTCATATGCGATTAATGCTCTTTAAGCACAAAAAAGAAAAAAAAAAGAAAAATCAAGCAAATAGCATGATTACATAAACTAATACTAAAATTGGTTCAAAACTATTTCAGTTCCAATTTTTTTCTCAAGTGAAATACCTGATTGACCTTAATCATGAATCTAAAATCTAGTTCAACTTGTATATATTGTTGCAAATAAAGAAAATAAATAAATATTTAGACTTTGCTAATAACACTGAAGAAAGACATGCACTTGATCTTTAAATCCAAATTAGAATCGATAGTAGAAGAAACTTCAAACTGTGTGGCCATGAAAAGTTTAACATATTGATTCAAGAACACTGAATGCCGAAAACTTTTTTTTTTGGAAAATATATTTAAGAGAAATCAGAGCAAGAGACTGCAAAAAAGCCTTCTCTACAAATTTTCTGATGAATATAATAAATGCCTGCCGAGAAGTCCTCAATGATGTAACATAAATCTATGAACAGAATTAGCATCAATTTACCTGGATGAATGGAGCAGGCGTTTGATGGTAATCATATGCTTTTGGAAGTCTTCTTTCGGCAACTTGTTTGAGAATACTAACAAAACTGATAACCAGGTCCTTGTATGAGTTTACATCAGCAGTAATAAGATCAAAAAGGGGACATAATGCTGCACCCATAACTCCAGGATCATTATCAGAAAGCCTCTGCAAGAACGAAAGTAAACGAAGCATCAATAATCATTTAATCCCAGCATTGCTTGAAACAGATTAATAAACATTTCAATAGCTAGAAAATAAATCTAAAAAACAAGCTCAAAATTTAGTAACAAGCATTTCAATAGCATGCAAAGAAATATGAAAAATAAACAATTATTTTACAAAACAAATTTTCTTTTGCAACTTTTGTTGTGTTTGAATCCATTAGTACACCTTCATAAACAATCTCTTGTGATCTAATTTTCTGTATCTGATAAATAAATTATTGAAATTTGTGGGAACTAAAGTTGCTAAACGCTAAAAACACATGCATAATGAAAGCGAAATAAATCTTCACAATTTTATGCACTTTTCACCAGATTTCCCCCTCTATTTCACCTTGTCATACGACAAAGCACTGAATTTAATGGCTTGGATACCATCTAAAAGGAATCTGCAGTCCTTAAAAGCATTCAATGCAATTTCATCTGCAGTTAGGATGATCTACAACACAACGGGATGCAAACAACAAATTCAACACCTAAACTACTGAACTTTGGAGACTAACGGATTATAGGAGAAGAGTTTACATGACAAAGAATGTAAATTTACATTTAATTCAAGTATATGGCAAGATCAATGTGCCAGCTATCAGTCTGATTATTTCTGTTTAATAAATTCCTCACAATGTCCAAATAACTATATACTCTTAAAGCCGCAGTTCATATTCTGGAAAAGAAGGTAATCAATACATGCAGCCGCCAATAGACAAGAATAAAAGGCTCCTAATATCTTAGTATGAGTTCTTAGCTAGCTCCCAGTCTGCCTGATAAATTTTCTTGTGTCCCCTACATATCCCAACATGTCAATCAATAAAAAAAAAATCAAGATTTTAAGTATTTATCATGCGAAAGCACCATAAGAACAGGCTCAATAGAATAACAGAAAAAGAAAAATTATAAACCCAAGGCAAATTTTTTAAAAAGTTTGTATCACAACTATTTTATTTTCCATACATCTCTTTAATGAAGCTCATAAAAATTCAATTAGTGTCATTTTTCTCAATGAATACAACCATAAGTAGAACTGGTAATCCAATATTAGCTTCTTATAAGTACAAAAGGTCACTAAAGCCTTCCATCTAAAAAATAGATTAAGCATCACATTTCAGTTCAAATTGATTTGAAATAGCGATGATATTACAAACTCCTACAAAGATGTGTTGCATGACCCCTTCACAATAATTTTATAACTTTTTGACAAGTATTGAACATGCTACTTATAAAATAAACAAAAAACTTCTATCATCAGTAATTTATCATAACCCTCCACTACCAATCCAAAATAAAGTACTAAAAAAACTTCACCAATATTACATAAGTTGAAGTCCTTTTTCTACCTCAACCTCTAATCAGATCAACTTAAGATATCAAGAAAAAGCTAGTGAATTTCATCAGTAGTCTTTTCCCCATCCATACTTTGTGTACAAAACATTAAAATTATCAGTATTCTCGCAAATCTCTGAATACATAGTATCTGCAATCAGTAATCCCAAACATCTCATTTTACAAGCACAAAACTTCGATCTAAATTAAAATGCTAGTTTTTATAAGATTCTTCCTTTTTTATGGCAACTTTGCACTACCATTATAGAAAAACATCAGGCCTTCTTCAAGCATGATCTATATAAGAAACCAATTAAAACGCCAGCACAAAAAAGAACTGTCAACCCTTGGAACTTTTATTTTATCCGGTGAACGTACGCTCCTCTACGTTCGGTTTTAGATCAAAACAGCGCAATACCGAGTTTTTTGAAAAAACTCGGTACAACTCGGTACTCGGTACTCGGTATTGCGCTGATT